TTACCCAAAGTGCAATGCTGTCTGAGCCCCTTGTGTGCTGACTGGACAACTACAGGTCACCCAGAGCCAGACCAGACCTCCTCCTTTAGACATAATCCAAAGGAGGAGGAAGTTAATCCTCAGCCATTGTCAGCAGTGTACTAATACATACACTCTGCGGTCGCTTTAGTTCGCTACGTGTTCATGACAGAAGAGTAACTTTTGTTGCCCTAAAATCAGGTAAAGTACAAAAATCTGACTCGATTTTTAACATAAACAGAAAATGTGTTACGTATAATACAGATCTTTTTTTATGTATACACACATTGTTTCATGGCAACACCCGAGGGCGTATGTTTAGTTTCAGTAGTGGGGAGAAAAAAGGAAGGAAGAAATCAGAGATAAAGCAATTAGCATATTATTATTATAGTCTATTAAGCTATTTGCCTGGGAACCAGACGAATCTTCAGAGCTCATGATGTTTCATTTGCTCTGACATATTGCAAATTGGAAACATAAAGGCTGTTTAAAGTGCTGGATTATATGCATTAACCCAACAGGGATCTTTGGTGATAGAGACCTGTGGAGGAAGTGGAATTGGGTTTTTTTTTTTTTGGCTGCAAAATGACCCAATGACCTTTGGCAGGAAAAGTGGGGCAAAATTAGAGCTGCACAATTAATTGAAATATTAACAAAATCGCAGTATGGCCAAGTACAGAATCTGCAATTTGTTGTAGTAAAATGTGTGACAGAACAACATTACAGTACTGTAGATATCCAGATATTAGAAAACAGCTCCCAGAGCAAAAGAAATTACTCAAATCCCTCGCTACTGCTCATCTGTATTTTTTGGACACCATTTCTAGAGGTTATAGTGAGTGAATCAAACTATAGGAGGGACTAAAATATGATTTTGAAGAATTTTCTGAGAAAAATATATAATACTTTGTACATTGAAATGCTACTACTGATGTGCTGTGACCTTAATATGATTTGGAGTGGATTTTTTACACATTTACTGACATTTCCTTCATCTGGCTCAGGCATCTAGGCCACGACAGTGTGTGCGTGGACGGACTCTGGTCACCTCAGGGCTCTTTCTATGACCGAGACCGATGCCAAGACCCGGAGGAGGAAAACACAGCTCTCCAGCGCTCCATCCAGACCCTTCAGAGCCAGATAGCAGTGGAGCGGAGCCGCAGGGAGGCTGCAGAACGGGAGAGTGAGCTGACGGTCAGGGAGAACAGAGGCCTGGAGCAGCGGCTGGCCATGCTGGACGGCTGCCGGGCCAGGCAGAGGGAGCTGGAGGCCGAAGTGGAGCAGCTGCGGCTCCTTTGGCGCGCAGACTGTGCCAACAGGTAGGCCTGGGCTGGATTCAAATTGTGAAATTGTTTTGGCTCAGTTTTTAGGTCTGACACTTGGGGATACAACTTTCGAGATACAGGACAAACACAGGCCTGTAACAATTTCTCTTAATACTTGTCCCCTCCACTCCCCCCACCAGTGTGAAAAGACCAGACCAGCTACTGTTGCCCGATACAGTATTCTTTGCCTCGGAAGAAAGATCCAGCCCGGGGCAGGATGAGATGGAGGAGAAGGTCGAAAAGGATGAGGAGCAGAGAAGACACAGCCAGCAGAGGAGATTCAGCGACAGTTTTTTGAGAGCGACGAACCCAGACGAGATTCGCCGCGGCCACGAGCAGCTGTGCATAAGGCGGGCGGAGGCGGTGAAACGGAGGGGCATCTCTCTGCTCAATGAGGTGGACGCACAGTACAGCGCACTGCAGGTGGTGTATTCATAGCATGTTCACTTTTACAATCTTGATGATGTAGAAGTCACGGCACACTTCCCCTAAAATATGTGCCCCTCGTTTAGGTGAAATACGATGAGCTGCTGCGGCGGTGCCAGCAGGCGACAGACGAGCTCAGCCATAAAGCCGTCCAGACGCCCAGCACTCCCTTCGCCAGCATCCGGACCCGCCGCCGCCTGTCCAGCTCCGCTACGCTGTCTGATCTGACGGCGGGTCTGGAAGACGGCCAGCAGCCCGAGTACAAGGCTCTCTTCAACGAGATCTTCACCTGCATCCAAAAGACCAAAGAGGACCTCAACGAGAACAGACGTCCGGTCAAGCGTAGTGATTCCAAGGGTTCTGCAAAATGATCGTATCATTCATCATCCTGGGGACTCGTCCGTGTTTGACAAAGGAGAAACTTTGAGGTCGCTTTGCTGTAATAACATCCGGTCCCTGTACGTGTTACACATGCTGCAGTCCTCTTATCTCCCGTCATTGTGACGCACCTGTGCTTTTGTTAGTCAGCACTGCTCCTTTTATTCCGTCCTTATCAAAAAATGAAGTGTTACATAAAGAGAGAACGCGTTCCAAAGTTCAACAACAAATGCAAACAAATGCTGTAACTATGGTGATAACTATGGTGTTCTTTACCACTTTACGATGGTAAAGATTTATTGTATGGGTAGATATTTATATAAATATGTTATCAGATTCAGATGGTAGAAAGTATGCTTAAAGTATTATGTCCGCCTCCAACAGTGTTCATATATATAGTGTTGACCCTGTGCCCACTTGATCATTCGGTGTTTGGGAGAGAAATGCAGACGTTGAACGATGTTTGTGTGTCGATTTGAGTTGGAAATGTAGCTGCTATGTACGACTTATGTAAACAGAAATGTTGGAATGTTGTAATAGGATGAAAAACTGTAGCAATAAGTAACTCAGGAGTTTATGATGATTAGCTTAACGGCAAGTGTAAGTTGGTTTTTGTAAGTTGGGCAATAGTTGGTTCGTTCACCGGTTGGGGGTCACGTCACCAGAGAAATATCAGTGGACACTGGAAACTGTTCTTAATAGTATGTGCTTTCTGTTTTCATGTCTGCACAGCTTCTGACTCTCTATACCAGTAGGACACATAACAGCTCTACACTTTTTATGACTGAATCACATTTTCTGTTTTATTTATTCTTTTTGTTTAGTTTTTTTTTTTTTTTAGGTTTGTAAGTTTGTAAGAAGATTAAATTATATATTTTTTTTGTTGCTAAATATGCAGAGCAGCTGAGAGTGACCAGAAGTTAAATTAAATGTACACTGAGGTGCTTATTTTGTGGATGTGACTATTCTGTCCAACACAGGAGGTAACTGGGAGAAAAATACAGAGGTGAATGGAAAGCACAAAAGAAACGTTCCCTCATTTGTAAACAATTTCCTGTGCCTGAAATTGTCTTCCTGCTCTTAATATAGAACATAAAGACTTCAATAATTGTTTATCCTTACAACCCTTTTAATCAAAATCAGAACAGTTTGGAAGATATTGTGGTAACTGTCAGTCATACAGGAAGAAATAAAACAATGTTCAGGTTCTCAGCGTTTATTGGCTGAACTTTACTAACCTGACAAACCCTGAGTTCAAAAAGGTGTTGTCGTTCAACTTTCCATGTGATGTGATCCTCCTGGGAAAGAAGATGCTTAATGGGCAACGCTGACTAAAATCTAGTATAGTAGAGGCATTTAACAATGTGCTGTTTTAAAGCTGTGAATCTTATACTGCTGCAGATGGCATCGCTGTATGATCATAGGTGTCCTCATAGGTGTCCTCCATGAAAACTAAGTTTTTTTTCTTGCAACTAACTAGTAAAAAAAACATTGATGCAGGAACCAGTTGAGTATTCTCTGTGTCGTAATGTCTAAAACACCAACTCTGGCATCATGAGTGCATGCATCTAAAAGCTACATTTGTTGTTCGCTTTAGCAAAAGAGAGAGAGATTACTCCATAGTTTGTGTGGGCAGAGATGTTTGAACCTGTCCTGCAGTATCTGAAACAACTGAGTCACACAACAGCAGTGAAGTATTTTATCTCCAATTGAAACCCGGAGGACTACTCGTTCCTCAAGACCTCCGTCCCCCCCAGTGTACTCTGTGGTCCAGCAAACAATTAATGGGGCTTTTGTCTCTTTTCATAATTAGGATTTACATAACTGAGATTTTCCTCACCCTGCTTTCAACTGGCCCCAAATCCATTAAACCTCCAAACAAGGGGATTGCATACCAACGCTTGCGTAAAGGGACAGGTCTTGGCAAGACCATTACACAGAAATCCCCACAAAGGCAAATCACCAGAGATATGGGACAAGAGTTAAGACCAAACGTATTGTAAAAATCCATTAGTGCAGTAATAAGAAAACTGGATTCACAAAAATATAGATTGGTTGTGAAATTACTTACATGGTCCCTAATGGCAGAAAGAAACAAGCTATCAGCAGTGAAAGATTAGGTCTCCATAGGAAGTAACACAGTAGTTCATTTAATATATAACATATAGACCATAAGAGTAAAAGAGAGTCAAATATATAACCGTTAGCCCTGTAAATGAATGCTAGATAGCTTAATAGTAACAGTTACTTAGAATGTTGAGTTAGCATTAGCAACACATTAGCCTCAGACAGCTACTTTGGTGGCTAGCAAGGTTGGCAGCTGAATTAACAAACCAACAATTAACTTAAAGATAAACGCTTCAACAAGGGAGTTTGGGGAGTAAGCTGGATAAAAGATATCTATCAATACATATAATATATATAATAATACATATACTGTCAATAGTGTATCCTCAGATCTGACCAGTAGCTGTTAATGTCAGTTAGGCCCCAACTGCCATGGAACTTTGTCAGGGTTCTGTTGCTAGTGGTAACAGAACACCCAACTGACACCAACCGTCCTCTGGTGGGAGATGGTTGAGAGTGAAATAGTGTGTCTAATTATTCAGGGCCAATCCTCTCTGTGGGACTGGAGCTCTGCCATCCAGCCACAAGTTCACACCATTGACAGTATGTAACTCAGTGCTACAACAGATCAATTCATGCTTTATGTGACCACTGACTGACTGACATACGGTGTATCGCCCTTAGGACACTAGCCCATGCTCGTTTATTTTACTATTATTTACTTTATTCTATTGTTTCTTCTAAATTGACCTCCCTGGCTGTTTTACGTTATTATTATTTATTATTATTATTATATATTATTATTTATCAGTTTGTGGGATACTGCTGGAAACTGTGAATTTCCCCTTGGGGATGAATAAAGTATCTAATCTAATCTAATCTAATAATCCAATATCATCAAAATATAATTTGGTGATTCGGCTGCATTTCTGATATTCTGGTGATACTAAGAGCTGAAATTACTCACACGAATTAGAAAACTAATCTGAAATGCAATACTAGGCTGTAAATAGACGTTCGGTTAATCGACAACATAAAAATAAAAGATATAAAACGCTGTTTTTATGGGTCTAACACTATCCTTATAAATCTCACATCGCGGGTGTGTCACGTTAACAACATCTATACAAACTCAAATACAGAAAATGTGATAATTTAAGTGTAAATGCATTCATTGCGGAACAGTGGTAGTGTGGCCGAGTGGTCTAAGGCGCTGGATTTAGGCTCCAGTCATTTCGGTGGCGTGGGTTCGAATCCCACCGCTGCCAGAATTCTTTCATTTTGCGGCTTTGATCTCATCAGTTTTTCCCAATACAGTCACGCACGGAGCTAGTTCACACGCGTGTGTTTAGTTATGTCAAAACACCACATATACGCTTGTGTGGCTCATGCTGTTGATACAGATGACCACACACTACATACATGGGAAAGATCATTGGCAGTACAAGTGCGCCCTCATGTGGCAGCTGACTCGGGCCACCAGTTTATGTTTACGTGCTGGATAATACATAATTTAGTTAATGGATATATTTTAACAAAAATGAATGCTTTTCCCTTTTTTAAGTGAGAAAAAGAGAATTTAGAGAAAGGAGTATGCTGATCATATATATGAAATGGTCGTTGGAATTTATTGTTGATGCTTTTATTTGCTAAAAAGAGTACAAAATTACTAATTAAATACTAATCTAAAGATGCGTAAACCACAACAAATCTTTACCACAGAAGCTGGAGGTAAACTTTAAATGCAATCAATGAAATATTTGTAATACAAAGTTAGATATTTCTTTTCCTTTTAATAAAATCATAGTAACCTTCAAACTGTAGAGAAAACAAGAACATTCACACAACTCAGGTTTAATACTTTTCAGCAGCCTGGTAGTTTCTTCCTTTTGCAATTAGGCACACAAATATACAAACATCAAAAAAATGTGGAAGAAATGACAGTATCTGAAAAATTAAGCAGAGAAATGACATAACCTAACGTCCTGAAGACTTATTCTTAGGGCGTATTTTATTGCATCTGGTGAGTTTCATTAATAAATCACATGTACATGAAGTTTTATTGTGCAGCTGTGCAGTATTTTTACAGTGAAAAAGTGTTTCATTCTAGGACAGTATGCAGGATAGCATCAGTAGCATCAGGCCGAGACCCATCAGCAGCAGCAGGACGAGGTATCGGGGCAGCTTGGGGGTCCAGGAGAGGTTGAAAGGAGGCTGGCTGGAGCGAGGCGGTCTGGTCTTCAGGTACTGGTCCACACAGTCCGCCAGGCTGTAGGACTTTGGACAGTAACCCAGCTCTCGACGGGCCTTGTCGATCTTGAAGGTGTGGCTCACAGCTATGCTCCTCACCTGCAGTGGAAGATGGGGCGTTTGTGTTAAATAATAGTTCACAAAGGATTCCCATTGAGACAGAAATCACCCCTAGAAGCTCTTTAAGCTGCTGCAGAGACCAAGTTAAAGGTCATACTGTCCAGCTAATGGTTCAGATTAACCTCTATTTGGCAAACGTGGTTTTACATTCTGATAGCCTGTGACTGACTGGTGCCTCCGGTTACTGCATCTTCTTACCGCCCGGGGATAAGGTGTCTGCATGTGAAGTATACGCCGTGATAGAAGAGTTCGGACTGACACCACCAGGACACGAGGAGCTCTTTAAAGCCTGTCAGTTCTTCTTCTCTTACTGCAAAACTGCTTCAATCAGCAGACACCTCGTACAGGAATTCTTCCAGTTCCACTGTATGACTCATACCAGGTTGCTACTTATTGATCTACCAGTATATTGTCATTGTTAGACAGTAGACACAGACGCTACAACCAAGTCCTGCTCATCCTGTCTGACCTGACAATCAACCTGACTATATATATATCTACCTGTCTCGTCGCTGTGCCTTTTAACTGCCTTCAATTTTCCATCAGTTGAGACGAATCTGCATTAAAAAGTCATTTACTGCCACGGGCATTACCTCACTGAATTCAGGACATAGATGATATTTTAATAAAGTATGTAGTTTGTAATGTGGTAGTGATTTAAGGTTCCTTTTTAATATCTGGTCAAGGACATAAAATGTGCCTTCCAGCGGTAATGGAAGAACTATTTAGATCCTAAAGTACTAATACGTCAATGTAAGTAAGTAAAAGTAAAAGCATTCAAATTCCTATGTGAGTAAAAATATTCATTCTGAGAGAAAGAAAATGTTTTTATGTTGCCTCATTTGTATATAATGATGTGAAGCTAACGCTGGATAATGAATCAGAGCATTGGGTTGTCGCAGTTTTCTGTGTCATTTTCAGCGCTCTGCCACCCGTAATCCTCCCCTACTCTGCATTCTTCTCTAACCCTAACCATCTCCCTCCTCATGCCTAAACCTAACCCACCAAACCAACAAAGGCAACAAACACTAGCCAATCAGAAGCAGAGACAGGCAGGTTTTCGTGGAAAAAAAATCAAGCGTTATGCAGGTATTTAGGGGTGTGTACATGGACTTGAAAAGAAGTAAGGGTATTTGTGGAAAAGATTCAGTAGTGCCAGCAAGTACCGGCCTATTGCAAGCACTGTGTGATACTCAGATTCAAGCCCTTACAGTCTTACTGAAGACATACTGTAATACACATTCGGTGCTCTTTACAGCAGCAGGACGGTGAATGTGTGATCGAATCAAAATAAACTTAAGTGTTCATGTTCAACATAATAAATGAACATTTGCACTGGTGCAACAGCGTGGTTTATTTATGTGTTTTTAACAGTTTTTGGTCGACAGCGGAGCTCTACAGCAAGGAGGAATAAGATGTATCAGGCTTTAGATACACAGGATCAGGATCAATTCATTGTTGGTTTTGGTCTTTTAATGGGATTTGTTAAGAAAAATATAGGTAGACATCACCAGACTTAAGGTTATTGAATGCTTCAAGATAAAAGACTGTTGAGCAGTGAGCCTTGATGCAGCTCTCTGCGGTGTTTAAACTGCAGTTGGTTTGACATTTGAAACTGCCTCTCCCTCCATGTGTTCCCAGACCTGGACTTTATGTACGAGAGGAAAAACTCCTCTGCGCGTCACGCAATGGCTTAACCTGAGAGTTGGCAGGTTCACTCGAGCCCGGCCGAGAGGCTGCCCAACCATGCTCACCATAGCAACAGCCACTGTACTGAGGTCACTTCCTGCAAACCTCATCTTGAACTTCCTGTTCTGACCCACAGTAGTTTATGTTTTATTCACAGGACAATCATCGATCCCCCGGCCGGCAGCTGTCTGACAGAATGAGCTCCAGGTGCAGGCCCACGGGCTCAGCTTTGGTTTCCGCCTCATCACACATTCATGAGGGACCTTACACGCCGTGACGGAGGCTCCTTAAGATGCATCGTAAAAAGGCCTCCCCAGGCAGGATTACTGCAAACTGCCCTCATCCCGATACAATTCCTGTGTTTTTAATACTGCTGCAGACCATCAGACAGTATTAAAAGGCTTCCAGTGACTATGAGAACTTGTTATTTGTTCATATTTTTGACTTCATGAAAGGGTCACATAGTTTTACATAATTCATGCACAAGAGAGATGAGGGGAGGGGGAGAGCAGAGGGGCTGATAGGAAAATACCCGCCCTAATGAAGTCTGTCTTCACTGTTGTGGGAGAGACTTAAACAAGAATCTGCTCACAAGAGAGCAGGTAACCAATCTGCAACATACAAGGCTGTCAATTAGGTACAGTAGGTACCTCTGCATGCATGTGTTCACACACAGGTCCACAGCATTGTAACTTTCAACACCATAGACGTGTTATAATGAGGGCACACTTGGTTCATTCAAGTCAGAATAAAGGTTTTAAAAGCAGCAGAGGCAGAAAGAGGCATAATTACCTCACTTTGGGTAAATAGGAGAGGCACTTCTATCGCAGGTCTCAGAATTTTGTGTAAATATTCTACCAAGTTGGCTGAAAATAGAAGAAAAACATACATAGAGTTATTGTTAGTAACAACCCACCAACATATTTAAACAAACGCCTGAGGGGTATGAGCTACCTGCTAAATAGACGACTGAAACAGGAAGGGTTATCAGCGGTTCGCTGTAGCCCAGATTTTCAAACTGCAATAGAAACATGAAACAAAGGGAAGTAAATTCAAACAAATCTTATGAAATGGACAAAATTAACAAATGAGTCAGTCCATCTCTCAGCACTCAGACCTAAGCCCATTTGTTCCTACTGAAGATGTCACCCAGAACAACAGTGTGCCTCATTTATGTGTTTTGTTATTGTTTTTGGAGCTCTATGCACAGAGGAATAAAATATATCAAGCTTTTACTCACAGACCATACTTGTTAGTATTCATTGTTGGTTTTGGTGTTTTTATGAGATTTGTTGATAATAAGGAAAATGTCAATGTAATTTAACTCACCAATGGTCTCAACCACTCAAATACATTGACTGAAACTCCATCATTAATGAAATAGGACTGTCCACTCTGTGAAAGAACAGAAAACAATGCACATTATCTTTAAAGATCCCCTCCAGACATGTATTATGACATACATAAATAATCTGCTTGGAGGTGGTGTGTCTGGTATTTGTTTGTCCAAAAAAAGTATAATTTCCACATTAAAGTCCTTAAAAAGACATCTACTCCTTCTGCTTCATTAAAGATTCAACAATCTATGAATATGCAAATTTTGTTCATGTCTAAAGTTTTCCTACTGGACACAAGATGTTTCCTACTTCACTGTAAAGTCCAT